AGATGGATCTTCAACTTCCTAACAAATCGAACACAAAGAGTAGTGGTCAACGGAGTTAAATCGGAGGCTGCCATAGTGAAGAGCTCTGTTCCACAAGGCACAGTACTCGCCCCCATCTTATTCCTTATCCTCATATCAGACATAAACAGAGATATACACCACAGCACCGTATCATCCTTTGCAGATGATACTAGGATCTGCATGAGGCTGTCATCTGCTGAGGACGCGGTTAACCTCCAAGAAGATATAAACAAAGTTTTCCAGTGGGCAACGGTAAACAATATGATGTTCAATGAGGACAAATTCCAACTACTCCGTTATGGAAAACTGGAGGAGATAATAACTAGAACAGAGTATACTACTGACTCCGGCCATACAATAGAGCGGAAAAATAATGTAAGGGACCTGGGAGTAGTAATGTCTGAGGATCTCACTTTCAAGGATCACAACAGTGCCACGATCGCACGTGCAAAGAAAATGATAGGATGGATAATGAGAACTTTCAAAACGAGAGATGCCAAGCCCATGATGATCCTTTTCAAATCACTTGTTCTCTCTAGGCTGGAATACTGCTGTACATTAACATCTCCATACAAAGCAGGTGAAATCGCAGATCTAGAGAGTGTACAGAGATCCTTTACTGCACGTATAAGTTCTGTCAAGCACCTTAACTACTGGGAACGCTTGGAAGCACTTGACTTGTACTCGTTGGAACGCAGGAGGGAGAGATATATCATAATCTACACTTGGAAAATCTTGGAAGGAATGGTCCCAAATCTGCACACAGAAATCACTCCCTACGAAAGTAAAAGACTGGGCAGGCGATGCAAAATGCCGCCAATAAAAAGTAGGGGCGCCATTGGTACACTAAGAGAGAACACCATAAGTGTCCGGGGCCCAAAACTGTTCAACAGCCTCCCATCAAGCATTAGGGGAATTGCCAATAAACCCCTGGCTGCCTTCAAGAGAGAGCTGGACAGATACCTAAAGTCGGTGCCGGATCAGCCGGGCTGTGGCTCGTACGTCGGACTGCGTGCGGCCAGCAGTAACAGCCTAGTTGATCAGGCCCTGATCCATCGGGAGGCCTGGTCGTGGACCGGGCCGCGGGGGCGTTGATCCCCGGAATAACCTCCAGGTAACCTCCAGGTAAACGGATTTGGTGCCGTTCACTTATGATGCTGACCACTTGGTAGGACTTTATAGTGACTTTATAATGGGCCCTTGTAGTGACCTAGGTTGTGTCAGAATTACTAGGGAGCCTGGTAGTGACCAAGGTTGTGTCAGAATTACTAGGAAGCCTGGTAGTGACCAAGGTTGTGTCAGAATTACTAGGAAAGAGCCTGGTAGTGACCAAGGTTTGTCAAATTACTAGGAAACCCGGGGAGTGACCAAGGTTGTGTCAGAATTATGGGAGCCTGGGGCGACCCAAAGGGTTTTGTCAGAAATTTTAGGAAGCCGGAGTGACCAAGGTTTGTCGAATTCAGGGGCCTGGTAGCGACCAAGGTTGTGTCGAATTACAGGAAGCCTGGTAGTGACCAAGGTTGTTAGAATTATAGGAAGCCCGGGAGTGACCAAGGGTTTTGTCAGAATTTCTAGAGAGCCTGGGGGTGACGGAGGGGTTTGTCAGAAATTTTAGGGAGCCCGGTAGTGACCGGGTTTTGTCGAAATTTCGTGAGCCCGGTAGTGCCCCAGGGTTTTGGGCAGAATTACTAGTGGCCCGGGAGTGACCAAGGTTGTGTCAAAAATTCTAGGGAAACCTGTAGTGACCGAGGTTGTTCAGAATTTCTAGTGAGCCCGGTAGTGACCAAGGTTGTGTCAGAATTTTTTTGGGAGCCTGGTAGTGCGATGTTTTTGTCGAAATTATAGGGAGCCCGGTAGTGACCGAGGTTGTGTCAGAATTTAGGGGCCTGGTAGTGACCCGGGGTTTGTAGAATTCTAGGAAGCCTGGTAATGACCGAGGTTGTGGGCAGAATTTTAGGGGGCCCGGTATGACGAGGTTGGGCCAAAAATTATAGGGGGCCTGGAATGACCAAGGCTATCTTAGAATTATAAGGAGCCTGGTAGTGACGAGGTTGTGTCAGAATTACAGGGAGCCCGGTTGCAGAGGGTCTTTGAATTATAGGGGAACTGGTAGTGGAGGTTGTGTCAGAATTACTAGGGGGAAAGGTATGCCAAGCTTTTTAGAATTACTAGGGGTCTTTAGTGCCGAGGTTGTGTCGAATTACTAGGGAGTCTGTCAGTGGCCCCTGGGTTGTGTCAAAATTTACTGGGGGAGTCTTTATGACCTGGGTTGTGTCAGAATTACTAGGGAGTTGTTGTGGCCTAGGTTGTGTCAGAATTACTAGGGAGTCTGTTAGTGACCTAGGTTGTGTCAGAATTACTAGGGAGTCTGTTAGTGACCTAGGTTGTGTCAGAATTACTAGGGAGTCTGTTAGTGACCTGGGGTTGTGTCAGAATTTGGGAACCGGGGTAGTGCCCGGGGTTGGTCAAATTACTAGTGAGCCTGGTAGTGACCGAGGCTGTCTTAGAATTACTAGGGAGCCTGGTAGTGACCGAGGTTGTGTCAGAATTACTAGGGAGCCTGGTAGTGACCGAGGCTGTCTTAGAATTACTAGGGAGCCTGGTAGTGACCGAGGTTGTGTCAGAATTACTAGGGAGACTGGTAGTGACCGAGGCTGTCTTAGAATTACTAGGGAGCCTGGTAGTGACCGAGGTTGTGTCAGAATTACTAGGGAGACTGGTAGTGACCGAGGCTGTCTTAGAATTACTAGGGAGCCTGGTAGTGACCGAGGTTGTGTCAGAATTACTAGGGAGCCTGGTAGTGACTGAGGCTGTCTTAGAATTACTAGGGAGCCTGGTAGTGACCGAGACTGTCTTAGAATTACTAGGGAGCCTGCTAGTGACTGAGGCTGTCTTAGAACTACTAGGGAATCCTGGTGGTGACCGAGGTTGTTAGACTATGAAATTTTACTTCCAATATTAACATAAAAGCATAATATTAACATACTTCTAAATCAGATGTAAAAACAATATATACAATATTCTTTTCATCTGTTGCTTAAGTGCAAAATTATTTAAACAGTGGATTACTTCAGCTAAATTATCGATTATTATTATTATTATTATTATTATTATTATTATTATTATTATTATTATTATTATTATTATTATTACTATTATTATTATTATTATCATTATTATTATTATTATTATTATTATTATTATTATTATTATTATTTTTATTATTATTATTATTATTATTATTATTATTATTATTATTATTATTATTATTTTTTAAATTATTATTATTATTATTATTATTATTATAAAAAAACTAGGAAGCGTTTAACCCGTAGAGTTAAAACAGCGCCTATGGAAAGTAAGGCAATTAGGTTCAATTCGGGAAAAGAAAAGCCTGTTCCAGATCCTCTAAACAAAAGCTCGTCATAGGCCAGCATAACTAAAACCTACGCCATGTTTACACAAGGTAATGGTACACATGGAAGGTATACACCAGGTAGACTCACACGAGCACTGAAAAGATTAATATTAATATGAAGGGAAATATCCATTTGGGTTATTGACATCACTGAGGCTCGAGCCTCCGTCCAAGAAGCGCGAAACGAGAAACCAACTGCGACAGCCAGACTTATATTTTAAGCAACAGGGACTGACTTCCTGGTGCTAAATAATGCACGCAGTGTAAGCATTGCATTTAAGTACACAGAAACCACAAGAGAACGAATGTATTATACAAGCAAACATACATACTTGAGTACAGATGTATATGTACAGGAAACAGGAGTACAAATGTAATTTACAGGAGAAACATGAGTACAAATGTAATTTACAGAAGAAACAGGACTACAAATGTAATACCTGGTTACCTGGAGGTTACCTGGAGGTTACCTGGAGGTTATTCCGGGGATCAACGGGGATGAAGCAATGTGAATACAATTGTAATATATAGAAGAATCACGAGTACATAAGTAATATGTAGAAGAAACAGGAGTACAAATGTAATAAAAAAGCAACAGGAGTACAAATGTAATATTTTAAGGAAACGGGAGGACAAATGTAATATTAAGACAAATGCTTGTAATATATGAAGAGATTATACTCCAAATAACAATCCCTTCACACGAGCCAAGGGAACTCCTTGACACCAGTCCAGGTGTTCCTGATGCGAGGAACTGGAGCTACTTTCACCCTCCTTGGATAAAACCTGTTTACCTCTGGAGCTGCATATTCTTCACACGAATCCAATAAAAACAACAAACCAGAATTGGAATTTCGTAATGGCTCTTATTGGAACACTCCGATTCATGAGAGACGAGTCAGATTATGTTACGAGGGTGAAGGTTTAAGAGCTGTTGAGTGGGAATGGGGGGGGGGGGGGTCAGTTGAGTGGGAGTGTAGAAGGGGCTAGAGGGAAGGGATGAGACTGGAGTGAGAGGAGAGACTAGAGTGAGGGGTGAGACTGGAATGGGGGTGAGATTGGAGTGAGGGGAGCTAGGAAGACTCTCAAGGGGAGAGAAAGAGGAAGTAGGACTACCAGTCCTGTGTGTGTGTGTGCCGATAGAGGGGAGACTAAAGGAAGCAGGAGAGAAAACTTGATAACCATGGAAGACAGAACTCAGGAAGAAGAGTGTAAGAGAGGGTCGGGTGATGAGCAGTGAGAGTAGCTTAATTAAAGTAGGGAGTTACCGACCTACAGGAGAAAGAAGGAAGGAAGGAAGGGAGGCAGGGAGGGAGGGAGGAAGGGAGGACTGAGTGAGAAAGAGAGGAGTAGGAGGAGGGCCGGTTAAGGGAGTGCCGGGTGAGGTAGGAAGAGAAGGCAAGCCGGGTTAGAGGGGAGAGAGCTTCAGTGGTGAGGGAGGGATGGTGGGAGGGGAGAGTGAGGGGAGAGAGAGAGAGAGAGAGAGAGAGAGAGAGAGAGAGAGAGAGAGAGAGGAGGGCAGAGTGAGCGAGGGGTCACACCAGCAGTCTTGCTCCGGCCACCACCCTGGCTACATGTCCCGCCTGCGCCGTGCGGCCCCACCATCAACACTATCCTTCACTCTAACCCGAGCCTCACTCTCACTCTACTCCAGCCAGTTCTCTTCCTCATCAATTCTCCTCTCACGGTTCATACGAGTCCTCTTTCCTTGACATGGTCTTTGTGAAGCTCCGTGTGTGGACCACGTAATTTTGGGTTTTGAAGGTGCATTTTGAGACTATTTTTTTACACCAAATTTTCTCTATAGCTAAATGTTCACAGATTGAAGCCCTGATGTGTTTTTTGTCTCTCTAGCGGGCGTAATATACCAAGTGTACAAAGGGAATTTCCCCCACTGAAAGTGTCTTAAAATATATATATATTTATATATACATATATATATACGTATATATATATTTCTTTCGCAGCACCGGCAGTGATAGGCAATTTTGAAAGTGAAATAAAATTAACACAGAGATTTTGAGATAGAAATTCGAGATCTATGTGACCCAGGCTCAAACCTATAGACCAACTTTATCTCCGTCTATCTCTTGTTCCCTTCTCTCTATTCTTCGTTCTCATCCTCTGTCTCACCAACTCCTAAAATTTACCGTACCGTTCACCGGTGGGCTCCTGAAAGTGTACGTTCTGAGATACGCGGTTCCAGCGAGTGTATTGTGATAGTCTCAACGAGACACGCACTCACCCTTAAGGAACGAGCCGGTTATCAACACCAAACGAAAAACAAGGAGTACTTAAAAGGAAGTCTTACTGACGGAAGGAAAACGACTTCTGCTAGGAGACACAACCAAGGACCCAACAGGATCCAACTTATTTGCCACCATGACCAGCACGCCCCCGCTCAGCAAGCTCCGGCTCTCCAGCTTCCTCTCACAAAGCTTGTGAGTACCTGGTGTTGCTGGGGCCGGTCACGGCGCCTTTGTGTGTAGCACCTTAGTTTTCTTGAGCACAATGTTGGTTGGGGGAGGAATTACGCAAGAGCTTTGTAAAACGTGGTCCAGCGGAGACAAACATTTAGTACAGACTCCTAGAAGGTGGTACCACTGAAGCTGTTGCGTACCTTCCCTAGAGCACTGTAACACTCTAAAGTAGCCTCATTAGAGCACCCATGTAAAGTGTTCCATAGCGTTCATAAAGCACCATGGAGTGTTCCATAATCTTCCCAGAGCACCTATGGGAAATGTTCCATAGTTTCCTTCTAGAGCAACTATAGGAAGTGTTGTATTAGTTTTCCCCCTAGAGCACCATGGGAACTGCTCTGCAGTTATCCTTTAGAGCACCATGGAGAAACGTCCCACAGCTCCCTTAAAACACCATAATAACTGTCTATAATTTTCCTAAAGCTCCCGTGGGAAGAGTTCCATAGCTTCCCTAGCCTGGTGGGGGGTACCCAACCATGAAGCTTGATGAGGATGTGGGGGAGGGGGGTGGGAGAGTCCTCGCCCGGAGTCTTGTAAGATTTTCGCCTGTTGCTTAAAAATTATCCCAATAATACTGAGCATTTTCCAGATCTTTTATTTAAAATTTATCTCTGATTCTCTTAACACAGAATACACAGTATAAGAACACGTCATGTAACGTTAAGGAATGTATTGAAAGAAAATATATTTTCTAAATTTTAAGATTCACTAAACTCTCATTATTAGAGCTGTAAAGAAATTTAAAAACAGAGAGAATAAAATAATCACAGAAAGTCTGAGGAAAAGGAGGCCTGGTCACAGACCGGGCCGCGGGGGCGTTGACCCCCGGAACTCTCTCCAGGTAAACTCCAGGTAAAAAAAAATTGCAGTTTTTCAAATACATGTCAAAAAATTTACAATTTTCATAAAAAGTGGTATTATAAAAACTTGTTTGGTATACCACATGTGCAATAAGCTTGATTACACTCATTGCAATAAGCATTCTACAGGATAGAAGGGATATTGATGCTGGGGATGGCCTCTTGATCCAAGGAATTGAATCCACCCCTTCTTCCCTAGTATAATACATGATTATTTTCCATTTCACGGGCGCTACCCCTGTGGATTTAGGTCTCTCCAATGAAAATATTAATGTACAATGATAAGTTCACAAAGTTATGAGCGCGACCTTGAATTCAAGCGTTGTTGTTGTGGTTGTAGCGCCGAGTCTTTCCTGAATATCATAGTAACCCATCAGTATAAAAAGGTTGGGAACCCCTGCAACGGAGCTTAATAGGAAGGTTATTTTTAGCTTCCCTGAATCACCATAAGCGTGTCCTGTAGCTTCCCTAAAGCACCGTGGAAAGTGTACAGTGCATTTCCTAGAGTGTCATGCAACGTGTTCCGTATACAACCCAAAGCACGATGAAAAGTGTCCTGGAGAGTGCTCCGTTTCACCATAGGAATAGCAACTAGCACACCAGGTGGCACATAGAACCCTCGCACCTGTGTATCTTCGCTAGTGCAACACCTGTCTAGAGTGTCATCACCTGAGTAGCGTATGTGTCATAGCCCAACTACATCACTTCCCTGATACATAACATTCAGTGTGGTGTCTAAGTGCAGCACCTCTATATTGCATCTGACATGCATGATTTGTCGTTGCACCTGTGTGTTGTGTGTCGTTAATATCACGACTCTTATTGCACCTGAGTAACACTGATGTCTTAAATTGTTGCACACACCTGGCGTTGATGTTATAACCTTTTGTTGCATATGTATGACATTGATGTCACGACCTCCTTTTTTGTGCACTTGTGACGTTGACGTTACGTCTAAGCACCAAATTTTCTCACACTGCCTGTATGCGTATGCAGTGTAGAAGTTAAATATTTATCTGTGTAGTGTTGTGCTACTCTGGTTACCTGGGCACGTGTGTTCTCCCGGTGTCAGGCCATGTGCGCATGCACATGCATTCTTTACTATTAATGCTGCAACTATCTGATGTTCCTAGTACGACTACACCACAGGAAGCTTGTTGTATATGGCTGTCGTGACCGTAATAGCAAGTTGGTCAGCCAGTACACGCTGTGTGTAGATATGTAGCGTGTAGAGATGCGTAGATAGATGCATGGAATTGTCAGCTAGTATTAAATTTGCCATTGTTGAACTGACCGACAGAACAAATTTAAATATGTGTTCTCATTTCACTTCTTACAGGAAAGTAATGCCTGTCTCATGTATGTTAAGATGGTAGATGTTATGATTAACGTAATATGTAACCACATAATAGATGTTATCATTAATGTGATTATTTTTATATATTTACTTTACCTTAATGTGTATTGTCTTGAATGAATAGTGAGTGTTATTGTTATTATTAATAGAAATTATTTCGTAAGAAATTCTTAATTGTTGCTTATGCTATTACATGTTTTAATTTTCGCATAGACAGTTGATCATATATTATATATATATATATATATATATATATATATATATATATATATATATATATATATATATATATATATATGTATATATGTATATATATGTATGTATATATATATATATATATATATATATATATATATATATATATATATATATATATATATATATATATATATATATATATATATATATATATGATGAGAATTTATCAGTTTTTCTAGAATATAGGAAGTGCTTCTTTAGCTGAATTTAGAATTTAAAATAAATTGGTGGAACAGTAGAGCAACTTGCTGTGGGAACAAAACACAAGAACGCGGAATAATCTTTTATTTAAACGATGTCTATGTCTGGAAGCTTTTACGAGTCGAAGAGAGAAATGCAGTGCAAATAAACTCTCGTTTTACATATCTCTGTCCTTGTGTACACACCTGTCGGTCTTATTTTATCAATGGTATAAAAACCCGACTAGAAGATAATTAAATAATTTGTGTCACTTGCGTTATCTTTATTTTGGAGACGTTTCGTGGCTTTATTAATCCGACAGAGAGAATAAATGGTGGAAGACGTTAAGAGGTAATTTGAGATAATCAGTCCCTCAGCACTGATACGTCTTCATGGCTGTGGGACTGATCACCACCAGTTAACTCTTCACGTTTTCCGTCGTGCATTCTCTGTATTGGACAGAAAAAACCACTGGTTAGAGACCCGTCTCCACAATAAGTGGAGTGTTGCACATGTGTTTTATCTTCCTATCCTTTTTACGTCCTTCAAACAAGAAGACGTATGCAACACATATGACGTTTATTAGACGCTTTGGCACCTAAGGCCTTCTCACTCCAATTGGCAAAGCCCCAAAACGTCTAACCGTCTATTCATAAATGTTCTATATGTTGCATTCCTGTAACACACATGTTTAATACGTCAAATTTATACATCTCCACTGAGTGACAGCGCGAGTTCAAACCTGCTGCTACTAACTGACCATCTGGCACTTGCATCAGCTTTCAAGCGTCAGGTGATTTTGAAGCTCCAGGTTACTTTGAAGTTTCAGGTGGCTCAAATAATAGATGGCCTTGAAACAAGTGACTGAAAAAAATTCTTGAAGGAACGATGAACCAGCAGCGGTCATACTGCGCCTTGGGAAAGGGAAAGCAATCAGAGTCTATGCAGGGAAAGGGAGGATGGCTACAACTCTTTGGATTACGAGCTCTTCAGAGGTGTCAGAAGGGATGTGATTTTGTAGTACTTACTAGGCAGTTTTGAAGCTCCAGGTTACTTTAAAGTGTCAGGCAGCTCACACTTTGAAGATCCAGGGAGCTTTGTAGCAAAAAGTGGCCTTGAAGGTCCACGTGTGTTTGAAGAGTCAAATAATTTGAAGGCGACAGATTGCTTTTGAAGAACCAGATGGCTTTCAGTCTCCGGGGTGGCTAAGTCTTTGAGTGGCTTTCAGTTTCCTGGTGGCTTTGAAGGTTGTCGTGATTTTGAAGTGCCAGTTGGCTTTGAGGAAGCAGTTGGCTTTGGTAGAGCAGGTGGCTTTGCAGATCCTGACTGTTATGAGCGCCAGGTGGCATTCCTTAAGACAGACTCCGATGTTGTTTCTTGCATAATCTTGGGAGGCATTGTGTATCTTGTTATAAGAACTTATAATCACTAGAATGGTGGAACATTGCAGTAGGCCGTCAGGCTAAGGATCACCAAGACATGTGATCAAGATATCGGCAATATATATATACCTAAGTGGTACACAAATAACCCGCACAATCACAGTGGGACTTTGTCAATGGTCCAAGTCGGACCGAAACGTCGTCGTAAGCTTCTCTCTTTTATGTGCTGGTTATTTGTGTATCGTTCCAGTCACGGTATTGTGCCTTTTTGTTATTTATACCTAAGTGGTACACTCAGCTTGACAGTATTGCATACCGTATATAATATGAAACTACAAACGCATGTTAAGTAGGTGTTTCTCAAACAAATGCATTTGTTTAACTTATTTTTAAAGTTACTCACGCCAATAGCTCCATGCTGATGAAAGACTTTATACTGTCATACTAAAACACTGTTGTGCTACAAGAAAAGCAGTTCAGTTTGAGGTATACTACAATCAAATCTACAAAGTCTTTAATTGGGACAGGAAGATTGGTTTGGGTAATTTACAGTAGATATGTTTATCAGTATGGCAGTTAATGAAGGTCTTAATATCTAGACATTGTAAAAGATTCACATGGAGTTGGTGTCTAACTGCTAATACCATGTTTCAAAGAAATCAACACTTCCAACAAAAACCTAGTCAGCCTTGAGTTGGATTTTCTGTTCATCGGAGTGCCTACTAAACAGGCCGTGGATATACTCTAAAGGGTTAATGATGTTTCTGACTGGAAAATTCCTTGATGACAATAGAGAAGTGGTGACTCTATAAGTTTTTTGGAACTCAGCCTGAAAATGAGCTTGACGATAAAGTTGGTGGGAAGCGCAACATGCCTCTTCTCAGTAGTGTCGGGTCTGGGAGGGTTGATGCGTGAAGCTCGTCA